ATTTCCTTTTTTATAGCTGAGTAGTACTCCACCTCAACGCCTGTGTCTTTGGGCACTTTGGTTGTTTCCATAGCTTGGTTATCGTAACTAGTGCTGCAGTGAACACAGGCGTGTGTACGTCCTTTCAGATTGATGCTTTTGTATTCTTTGAGATCCCTAGAAGTGGAATCACTAGATTACACGATAGGTCTATTTTGAATATTTCGCGGTTAAAATCTTCTGCCTTTATGTCTTTGTTTTTTCCCACTTGACCTCTGATAGTTCGTGTTGTGTTAAAATCTGCTAATTAGATCTGTTTGCTAACCTATGTATGTCTAAATGTTCCTATTTTCCACATGTTGCTGATTAATATTATGGATTGAATTGTGCCTCTGCCAAATTCATAATCTAAAGTCCTCGCCCCAGACCCTCCGCAAGTGGCCGCATTTGGAATTTGGGTTTTTAATGAAGTGCTCAAGTTACAATGAGGTCATTAGGGTGAACCCTAATCCAGTGTGATGGGTAACTTTACAATAAAGGAAATTTGGACAAAAACACACAGAGAGAACTATGTGGAGATGAAGATGCATAAAAAGATGGGGAGAGACACGAGGGTGGGGGCAGCCTTCTGCAAGCCGAGGAGGCTGGGAAAGACTCTCCCCTCATGGCCCTTGGGTAACGCCCTGCAGTTCCAGACCCCAAGCCCCGGAACTGCGAGGGCCTGTCTGCTGCTGGAAACCAGCAGCACTCGGGGAGGACTCTCCTAGGAGACCTGTACGCTAGTCTCTTCTGTGTGGCCTGGAACATTATGCCTTCACTGCCCACTGATCAAATGACCCCACTGCTTTCTCTAAAACACCCTGTCCATAACTTGAACCCCCCACATCCACATGGCAGCCCTTCCCTAGTCTTTAAGACCTCGTGCCCCTTCCACAGTGCAGGCACCTCTACAGTGGCAACAGGTGTCTGTGGATGTGAGCTCTGGAATCCAATGGGCAGCTGCCCTTAGCTTCTACAAGGCCTGGGGTACAGTAATCTTCCTGTGCCTCAGTTTTTCCCTTTTATAAGGTGAGGACAGTAATTCCTTCACCATGAGGATGGACTCCATTAGCACATGCATGGCGCTTAGCAGTACTGGGTGATGGAGAGCCAGTACAAATACTGTCAGCTTCCGCTTACAGAGGTAATACATGAGGTCATTGCATAGGAGAGGAGAGGAAAGCTAAGCAGGGAGTCAGGGCGAAGGAATCGTGGGTTGGGTTGCCGGGAGGCCAGCACTGAGGTGGACACTGATGTGCAGGAAATACAGTGGGGGTGCTCTCTGGATCAACAGGTGTGGGGGGAGAGAGCAGCGCTGGGGAGAGCAGAGGCCAAAGTGGGGAGCGTGATGCGAACACAGCCAGCAGCAGCAGAGCAGCTTAAAATGTGCCCACAAATTCTTTGATGCTCCTGGCCAGAGGTGAGCCAATTCCCCTGCCCAGGGGGACTCAGAGACAAGGCACCAGAGCTCAGCACCTGCTCGCTAGGGCGCGCCCTCCCTCTCCTCTCACCCCATCACCTGGGGGTTGCCAGAGTTACCTGAGACTCCAGCCCCTGGGGAGCCCTTGGATGACTGTGTGGGATGCTGGAGAGTCCGCCATCAGGTTCTACCTGACCCTGAGCCCCGAGGCCCGGTGAAGCAGCTCCGGAGCGGGGCTGTTTGTCTTACAGTAACCCTGGGTCGTTGGTCACACACAGCAGGTAACGAACAGGGAGCAGCAGGCTGCCACAGCTGGCCTCAGAGTTCTCGAAAACTGGGCTGAGGGGAGAGGTGCTCACATCCTCAGCTGACCAGTCACTTGGTGTGGAATCCTCTCTCTCTCTCTCACCCCTCCCAAGTGGAGCCCAAGGAGGCACAGCATTTTCTTCACGTGAGGCCAAGTTTTGACGCGTCTTACCTGAAAGTGGTTGCGACGACCGTCTCAGTACCTCAAGGAACGCGTCTTTTCAGTCACGCAGGACAGGCCGAGCAGCAGTCTACATGCCACACCTGGCGCGACCTGCCCCACTGCTCAGCAACGGCCCCAGACGCACGGCTGAGAACACCAGGTGGAGTGGCCCACCTTCTAGAGAAAGATGCCACACCTAGCGCCACTTCCCAGGGTGAATCAGAAAGTGCAGCTCTGGCCCTGCTTCACCACACCCCACCCCTCAGGCTGGCCAGGGAGGCAGGCGCTGGCCCAGGGAGGTGCAGCGTGCCCCTGCCAGCGCTTCACTACGGGTCTTTTCAAGCCTCTCCCTCGTCCGCCTACTCCGCACCCAGGTGAGGGGGATGGAGACCTTTTTGACCATCCACTTGTGATTCTCATAAGAACACTTTCTTTCTCTACCGATTTTTTTTTTTAAGATTTCTTTATTTGTGCATACAGAACTGGGGTGCAGGCCAGAGGTTCAGGGGCGGTGAGAGACTTCACCAGAGACAGAGTGGGGAACAGAACAGGAAGATCAATAAAGTACACTGCTGTGGGGAGCAGCGGGCGGGTCAGGAGAGGTCTGCCACACCATGTGGTCACCTCCGGGGGCAGGCGGGAATCGAACTCATGCAGAAGCGGCTTTAGATTCTCAATGCTGTGCTTTAACCCGCTGCGCCACCAGGGAGGGCCTCTCTACCGATTTTACTGGAAGTACACAGCATATGACACACATAACCTACAAAGCGTGTTCGTGCATTTTTATCGGTTATGCTTCCGGTCGACAACAGGCCAGTGGGAGAGCGGGGTGCCGATAGCTAGATACGGATTTTCAATCACAGGGGTCCGTGCTCAGTCCCTTTGCCCAAGGTCCCCCCTGGTGCCATGTTTCCAGTGACACAGGACCGGAAACTGTAAGCCCATCTCTTCTGGCTTCAGTGTGGCCTACAAGAAGAGGCCCGGTGGGTTCATCCTCTACTTGCAAGCCATCTAGTCAGAGTTCTTGCTAATTTACCTATTTTGGAAGAAGCAAGGAGCCTGAAGGATGGCAGGATGGAGAGGCCACAGGCTGCCTCTAACCCTGTGTGTGACAAGGATGTGAACTCATCCTTAGATGTGCCAGGTCAGGCGGAAAATGGGCCACAGAACTGGCAGGTGCCGGTCCCAGAGCTTCCCTGGAAACCACAGGGGGTGAAGGCCCAGGCCCTTGCACGTGCACCCCATGAAGGGGGTTTCAAACCGGGGCCTGTTACCCAGAAAGCAGGGCTCAAATGGGAGAACATCAGTGGTGGCCAGTTAAGGGACAGGTCAACACAGAAGCCAAGTCTTGAAGAGGGCAGTGGAAGGAACGTCAGAAATGTCTGGGTCAGAACCAGGCTTGCCCTTCTCACCCTAAGGACTTAGGATGCCACTCAGTAAGGAGACTGACACTTCTGCACAGCGTGCTTTTACTAACTGAACATGAACAGAAGCGGGGGGATCCCTGAGTGTGGGTAAGGGACGTCATTGACTCAAAGAGCAGGGACGGAGAAACGCTGGATGTTTTAAAGTCGTTAGTTTATTGGAAGGGCTCAATAAACTAACAAGTAATTGCTGGAATTACCGCTCTGTGCTGCACCAGCATGCACAAACCGACCCACAGGACGGATAAAAGATTTCATCGTGGAAGAAGAAATGACCCGTTGTAAACTAAGAATAAGGCAGATTCGCTGAAGCACAGAAGTCTCCAATGCGGCCCTATTTTCCGTGCCCCACCACGGAGGCTGGTATTTCCCTACACGAAGGATGTGTGATGGACAGCGAGCCACTTCTGCAGTTGCTCCAGGAGACCAGACTGTAACCCAGTTTCTGGAGGACGTTTCAGAACTGCTCAGCTGGCGTTGCCAGGCGCGAGCCCGACACAGACCGAAGCCCGGAGGCTGAGGGCTGAGTGCTGCTGAACACTGGCTGTCCAGCTTCACAGCAACGGCAGCCGTCAGGGATGGCCTATAAAGTCCTTCAGTTTCCAGCGGGAACCCTTCCTGATACTAGTTCACAACACTGTCCTGCAGGACATTTCCGCCGTGGCCCTCAAAGTGACCACTTTAAGAGCAGTCATTAAGAGGAGTCACAATCAAGGGCATGCGAGTGCACTCCCTCCCCCACTGTCAGTTACCCAAATGCGAATTGTCACTGCTCTGCTCGCCGCAAAGTCCTCGCTCAGCACCTTACTCGGGGATTTTACACCCACAAACGTCGCCTGGTGTCTAGCACCCGAGGCTGCCCTGCCAGGAGGTCACGACCGCCCCCAGCCCCAAGTGGCCGCCGCGGCGGCTCCGGGTCAGCGGCGGCCCGGGATACCGCGCGG